TTTTCCATAAAAATCTAAACGAGAGGTTCCGAGTATATCAATATATCAAATCATTTAATTTTAATCCATCCCTCGAGCCCATCGATAAATGCACCAACACACGGTAAGCACCACCACAAAATGCCCTCAATTCGAGATCACAACTCGCATTTATTCTCAATCAAATAAATTAAATCAAAATTAGTTTTCCACGGATAAATCAAATAATTTTTCCCGAATATAACAAATATATTCTCCACGAATAAATTAAATAAACTCCACGAATATATCAAATATTCTCCACGAATATATCAAATAATCCCACGAATAAATCAAATAATGCTCCACAAATAAGTCCAATTTTCACCAATTTAAATCCTCAAGTCTCTCGATTTTCCAATTTAAATCAAATAATTTATCCACTTTTTACCATTCTATTTGCAGTTCCCTTTAGGAGTCTGGTTTACCGGTAAAAGGGTCAGAAGCGGCCGCAATCTGCACAACTTGCTTTGGAGGATGCGAGATCCACTGTTTACCAATTTAAATCCTCAAGTCCATAATTTAAATAAGCCTCGTACCTTCATCACGATAATGTTACCTAAATTTACCTTCCCGACCGCGTTGAATCCTCCCGAGTTAGTCTCGGGCACCAAATGGGGCTGTTGGACCATTGTTGGACTAAGTTGGTAGCATTCTGGGCTACTGAAGGGGGCTTAAACGTCCATTAGGTCGCATAAAGGGCACCGTACAATCGCTGGGGCGAGCTAGACTTGTGCTGGGCTGAAAATCTCTTTACTGGGCCGCAGAAATCATCTCTAGGTCGCATAAATCTGGTATTGGGCCGAGCTGAGGGGGAATAGAGGAGAGCTTGGGCCTGGAGAGGGCTTTTCATGGGTCAGGGTGCGGGCAGAACGTGGGCCGGACGTGGGCTTTCGCGGGCCAGGTGTTGTGAGAGGAGTGGGCCGCGCGAGCTGGGCGCGGCCCGCACGCTGAAGCTGTTGTTCCTCCTCCTGGGCCCTCCACACTGGGCCGTCTCTTGGGCTCCTAGATGGGCCGCGCGCTGGGCCTCTCGGATAGATCGCGAATGCTGGGCACAGAATCGGGCCACCTTCTCGCTGGGCCACACACAGAGAATAATGTTCACGCGAGCTGCGAGCACCATGGCTGCAACTCGCCGGGAAGCAAAAGTCGCCGGCCGTGGCTCTCTTCCTCCGGCGAGAGGGACCATCCGTGTGCGCGCCTCGATGAGGAGATTCTGGTGTTGCCGCCGGATTGAAGTGGTTCGCCGGAAATCGACCAGAAAATTGAAAGAGATGACCGGAGGTTGACTAAAAATCTCTTAGATCCAAAAACTTTGACCGCCAAATTGATAGCCTTCGCGAAAGAATTTTTGCTCGAAATTCTAAGGGTAGAACAAGCATGAGGACAGCTTCGCGATGGTGTATGAATTTTTCAAATCTATCAACATTGGCCGGCGGCAGAGGCGGTGGCGTCCGGCGGCGGCGTCTGGCGAAGGTTGGTAGCTGGAGATTCGTCTCGCCGAGAGGTTTCCGATGGTACCCTCGGATTTTTCATAGCTCTCCCGGATCGTCGGAAAAATGCATTTGAATGTACGATTTTTGACCAATTTTTTGCTTGATCTGGAAACTTTGACCGCAAAATTGACGGCCTTCCCGAATAAATTTTTGAATGAAATTTTAAGGGGGGATTCACGTCAAGGAGATCTACCCGATGATGCCAACCATTTTCCGAACGGAGCACGTGTTCCGGCGGCCGACGACGGCAGTGGTGGCGACTGGTGGAGGTGAAAGAGATTGTTGGAAAATTTCTCGAATTTTTTGGTCGGAACTCCGTTTGGCTTTTTCAACGGGTCCCACAGATGGCGCCAATGAAGTGAATAACATTTCACCCGGACTCTTTCAACTCGGACGGCCTCCGTACCTGCAAGAACCCAACGCCGGGAGGGGTCCCGGCGTCGGGCCTCCGACGCTCAAGTCAGAATAACTCCAAGATTCCAAATCCCAAACGTATAATTATGAATGTAGAGAGAATGAGAGAATGAGACACCTTAGCCCCCTTTTATATGGGGGGTGTACCTTATGACCCAAGTTGGGCTTGTCCATTAGCATCATGCCACGTGTCCTGGCCATGTGTAGGCTTATTCTTCAATATATTCCCTTTTTATCCATTAAACCCGGTCTCGTATAATATCCTATATCAGAAGGTATAATTCTGACTTTTTTATTAACCATTAGATCACTAGATCTAATGACCACGATTTATTCTCATTTCTTTAATTGAGAACCTTTCTCACTGGAACCCAACCCTATATGTACACAAACACACACACACACACACACACACACACACACACATATATATATATATATAGAGAGAGAGAGAGAGAGAAAGGATCATATAAGAATGACTCTTACTGTGAGAAATCAGAATGATCCTGGATCATTAGATCGATCAAACCAATGGACACGATAAAGTCAAAACTTAATAAATCACAGTCAAATATGAGTGGTATTTTCGCAAATAATTGCACACAATATGGTCAATTATAAAAATTAGATCACTAAGTGGGGGTAAATCAGACATTATACACTACAAATGGACCACACCACTAACACCACTAATCTACCCCATCTCTCTCACACATAAACACACACAGCGCACACTTACACACACAAAACACCATACCCGACACACACACACACACACACAAACTGGATGGGGCCGCTGCCGTCAACCGCACCGTCATCGCCGGACGTCAACGGCGTTGCCGCCGCAAGCCTCCCCGGCCTCATCGCCGCCGACACCAGCCCAATGCCGTCGATGTGGAAAGCTTTCAGATTCTGATGCACTAAGTGACCTGTGTGGTCGACCCCGACCGGCGACTGTGTGGTCGTCCTCGCCCAACCGCCGTCTATCGCCGCCTGCCGCCAAGACTCTATCGCATCGCCGTCGTCGTGCATATATTCTCAATCGCTGACCTTGATGCTCAGATCCGAGGGCAAGAGGAAGGTCTCCACCTCCGGCTACACTAGCCGGCGATCCTTCTGCACGTTTATCACAGCTCCCGCAGTTGCGTCACCACCGCTGTCCTTTCCCGTACCCGCACAAAGGCGGCAACGATGTGTGAGGATAAAATGTTGATTTCGTTTTTTTTTTCCTTTTGCGCAGATGGAGTCGTCGTGCCCTAGCGGCGGGCCATGACGGCTTCAGGTATTGGGCGATGAAGACGGCGGCGGTGACCATATCGACGTTGACTTTCGGTGGCTGAGCTCCGGCGAAGGTGTACTGGGGTGGTCTGAAATTGCTTTTAGGAATTGTGGGGTTTTTAGTTGAAAATTTGATATATTGTAGGGGCTCAATTGCACTTTAATTAAGTTTCTTTTTATTTCAATTTAATACATGAGGCCAATCTGTAATATAATAAAAGTTTAATTAATGCACAATAAAATTACATAAATGCACATTATTATGTGAGAATGTCCACATTAGAAAATAAAGCATGTTTTTACATAAATGCACATTATTATGTAAAAGTTCACAAATATAGTTTTTAATTAAATAAATATACATAAAAATATAATAATAAAAAATAATAGTATTTTGTATGTAGTTCGGTCATTCAATTATTTCGGTTATCTAAATAAAAAAATATAAAAAAAATATTTTTAATATAGTTTGTTTTTTGTTTTGGTTATTTGAATAAAAAAAAGAAATCATACCGAAATACCCAATATATAAAAATAATAATAATAAATAATAATAATTGACGCGAAATATAAAATTTTATACTGAATTTCTATTCGTTGATCTCGTTCGATTTTGTGCAATCTGTTAAGCATTTCAGTGCAACCCGTATAACACTAACGTGCAACCCTAATACACAAAAATATAGATATAAAAAATATACATAAAAGTTCACAAATATAGTTTTTAATTAAATAAATATACATAAAAATACAATAATAAAAATAATAGTATTTTTATGTAGTTCGATCGTTCAATTATTTCGGTTATCTAAATAAAAAATATATAAAAAATTTTATTTTTAATATAGTTTGTTTTTTGTTTTGGTTATTTGAATAAAAAAATAAATCATACCGAAGTACCCGATATATAAAAAAAAAAATAATAGTAATTGACGCGTTGATCTCGTTCGATTTTGTGCAATCTGCTAAGCATTTAAGTTTAACCCGTATAACACTAACGTGCAACCGTAATACACAAAAATAGAGATAAAAAAAAAATTATTAGTTTTCATAAAAAAAAAACAAAAATAAAAAAGGGTAATATTTTTCATATATTTTCACATGTTTGGTTATTTTGTTTATTTAAAAAAAAAACTAAATCCGACATTTATCCAACTAATATTATCGATCGATTAGAATAATTACTCTAATTTTTGTATATGTAGCGTGTCGTTTTAAGGTGCAACATGTAGTGTTATAAGGTGCAATGCACTGTTATATAAAGTGCAACATATTGATTTATACGGTGCAATAATGAAATTTTGGTATGTTAACATGCCTGTATTTTTTGATGTGATCAATATTAAAATATTATGTATATATGTTTTATGATTTTATATCGAATAATATTTTGGTGGCAACTGTTGACAATAATTGTGGATTGTGGTTATAAATTGCAATATGTTGTTTTATAAGGTGCAACGTGTTGTTATATAATGTGCAACATTCTGCTCGATAAAGTGCGTAAATTTAGTATTCGAAAACTAGTTTCAATATATATAATTGTACATCGAATAAACCTAAAAAATTAAAATTTTATTTATCATTTTATTATATTATTTATTTATTATCATGATTTATTATTATATTATTTTAAGAAATCAAAATTTATGAAATTGTAAATAGGCCCTTTAACATTATCTAATTCACAAAAATAAAAAACAAACAAACAAACAAATTAAACCAAAATCCCTAATTTTTGGGACAGTTGCAGGATCAAGGTGACATCCGCCATGGTCGAGCCTCGCGTCTAGATTGCCGACGACCACTGACATCCGGTTAACCGTGACTGAACGCCGCCGTGAGGGATGCTCCGACGCCACCGTGAGGGGCTCTGTATCCGGTCAATCGCGACCACTGCCAGCCGCCAATTGTAGAGGGCGTCGCATCAATTTCAGTCGCGGTCGCCGTCGAGATCTGTCCTCCGGTCATCCGCGACAGTGGAGGCGTCGATTCCCTGTGATTGGATGGTTGCGGCGGCGACCGGCGTGCGACAGAGCTTTGCGGTGTAGGAACGTCGGAGACGGCGTGTTAAACGGCGGCGAATCAGAGCTCAACACTTCCGGTAGCGATGCGGCACCTGGCGGACTTTCAGCGGCTGACGTCGGTCAGGCGCGTGCCAGCGGGAGTCGGAGTGGCGGCAAAGACATTAAGTCAGGCTGAAATTTTTTGTGAATTTTACTGTGTGTGTGACGGGTTGTGTGTGTGCGTGTGTGACGGGGGTTGAGTCCGACGGAAGAGCGGCGGCGGCGGACGGCGGGCTGCTGGTGGCGGGCGGTGGCAGAGAGTTTCCCGACGTGAGTGCAACGGGGAGAGTTCTCGTTGTGTATTGTGTGTTGAGAGAAAGTGGGGTGGGGTGGGGTGGGTGGGTTGTGAGGTTGATTAATGGGGTAGGTTGGCATGTGTACACGTGAATTAATATGTAGTGGGGCCCATTTATTTTGGTGATGTATAAAAAATTACTACATTTTAATGAAGGTACAAATTTGACTTTTTTATTAGTCATTAGATCATCGGATCCAATGGTTATGATTTATTCTCATTTCTTTCATTAAGCACCATTCTCATGTGAGCGCGACCCATATAATGTAGTTCTGATAAAAAAGTAATTATTTGGCGCAACATACCAAACAAGCGCAAAGAGTAACCAGAATTGCTCGTAAGTTCACTAAAGCTGACGAAATTAAAAATGTAATTTGGAACATTGAGAATCAATGACGGCTTAACAGATGTGAACTCGTGAAACTTCAAAATGTAAGAGTGTTGTGTTGGAGCGTACTCATCATTATTCAGAAGTATTTCAAAATTTGACATTATATAAAATAATCCTTCATGAGTAATGTTCTCCAGCTTTGAAAAACGTTATTTTGGAATTATGGGTTGAATCCTACCACCCAATAATGATAACTCATGCATAAAGTTATAATACGAACACAAAATACTTAAAGTGAAAGGACTTTAATTAAATAATAATAATAACAATGAATACGTCATTGTCCAAAACGCATATTACCATAGCCATGCAAACATCGGGTTGATTCTTGATGCACTTAAACCATACTCGCTCACATTTAACAAGTATTTTTCAGGTTTCTTTTTATGCGATTATCTCAACAATGGAGTTGAAAGTATACGCCATGTCATTTTTTTTATGTATGAGATGTTTTCTTTCAATATGAGGACTGAAAAATGTTCAGGAAACGTGGAGAAAAATAGAGAATAGAAAAACCCTCCCTCAAGATATAAAACGTGGGGGAAAAAAAAAAGAATTAAATTGGCAATTGAAAATGAAGAAATTACAAAAATAATTTATTGATTTATAATATAATTAGATAAAATAGTTTGAAGAAAGCACTTTTATATAGGAATATTGCATTCCTTGGTAAATGTTTAAGCAAGATGCTTACCACATAAATAATTGTATCAAGTTAATTAATAGTGACTCAATTATTCTAAAAATATTGAGATACAAAAGATACAGAAGATTCACCGATGTCAAAAATATAATTATATTTATACATTTCAATATGATCTTCTATATCTTCAAAAAATATTGAGATACAGAAGATTACCGAAATAGACTATCAACAACAGTACAAATTTAACTACCAGAACACATGATTTTTAACCAATGTCAGCAGTTTTTCATTATACCCCGATGATCTAAATCCATTATGCTCACAAAGGCTCAAATATTGTAGTGTCTGGAAAAGGCACAACTAAATGACAATCAAAACGGCTGAAAATGACTAGATCTCGACAGAGACCTAAGCGGGATAAATTTGACCCAACGAACTTTTCGAAGCGCAGTGAAGGAAAGGAGAGCATTTTTTGCCCCCGGGGAAGGCCTTTCGATTACTGATTGAACGTCTTTGGACCTTCAGAACTCTCACACTGGAGGGGTTTTTCGGTGAATAGCCTCTGAAGCTTAAGTTAGCACTTGTAGAATATGAAGTGCAGTATATGAGTATATGGAAAAATAGAGAATGTAATGTAATTCTGGGTATACCTCAGTCCCTAACTGTACGACTAACCCTTACCTCGAGGTGGAGTATCATCAATGTCAAGCTCTGCTACTATGCCAATCTGGTCGATCCTCTTGACCAGATACTTCACCGGCTCGAACTTCCACCAAACCATCCGGGGGTCCTAATTCGACCTGCTAGTATCTTTTCCCCCATGATCTCTTCTTCGATCTATGAAGTCTTCATTATCCGTTCGACTTGATGGTTGGCCCAGTCAAGGCCGACTCGGTCTAATCAACCTGGTATGGTTATCCCACATCATCTGGTCCCCCCAGTCTAATCGAGTTGTTATAACTCGAGAGTTGATAGTTGTGAGCTTTGGGTCTTTTTACCTCAAAAATGTTAACCTTGGTTTTGTTACTGTGTTTGGTTGCTCATGCTTTTTTCGACCCATAATCCTTCTTATGGATTTGAAACTCAATTTTTGAATTACTGACACCTCCACACGTTATTCTGATAGCCATCCAATCGACATGCAACCCCTCGAAATCTTGTCTGCCTTGTGCAGTGTAACCACTCAATGCACTTAATCCTATCCAATCGCGTCACTTTCGATCCAACGGTCCGTCTCAACCTATCTTTTCATCTATCCACCGCCATCCTATCCATTCATTTCCACCTTGATCCTACGGTTACGTTCTACCACCCGTTCACCTTCGTACCAATCCATCTTGACTGTTTTCCGATCAATCAAACAACCAGAGTTTAGTTTATCTGTTGTCTCATCTTTACCCCTTTTCCTTCTATAAAAACCCTAATTGTCCTCTTTTCTTCTCTTTACTCTCTCACTCAAACTTTCTATATTCTCAAGCTTTTTTCATACTTGCATTCATTCGCTCTTGCTGGAGATTCGTCGTCGACCACCGCAACTTACCACTCTCTTTTGCTCTGAGGATGTCTTCAGTCAGTAAGTTTTCTAGATTTATAATTTGCTATCTTAGTTTGCACTTTTGGTTTCCCGGTTCTCTGCATTCTTCCCTTTGTCTTCTTCGATTCACAAGAATCCATCCACCTTAGCGAATTTTTCCTCTTCTTTTGTTTTCCCCCTTTTTTAAATTCGGCGCGACCACTGATTCTGATGTTGTCTCTGTCGGCAGAGACATGACCGCCCTCTCTTCTTCTTCGACTCCTTCTCGTTCTATTCATGTTTCTTCTTCCCATGAAACTAATTCTTGACCAATCCCTAAACCTTCTCGACCTCTTCAACTAGTAGATGAATCCGACAAGGACAACAATTCTCCCTCCCCTGCCAACTTCTATTCCGATGGGTAGACCTATTGAAGGTGCTACCCATGAGACCCCTGAAGACATGGTGTCTGTGGCTCGAAATCTTAACACCTTCCTTGATGTTGAGCAGCCATCGAACAATTCTAGATCTTGAATGGTATACCTTAGGATTGGCATTTCTTCACTCCTCGACCTCTCGATGTACACCGAGAGCCTTCTGCTGGGTGTTATATATTTTTCAAGTCCAAGTTCTTATTGGCCTTTGGTTCCCTCTTCGCCATGACCTCTTAGACCTTTGTGCCATAACCGACCTCCAAATAAATCAACTGTCTGTAAATGCCATAAAGAACTTAGTGTGTTTTACCATACTTAGTCACTGTCGTTTAGGTTTTCTTGATACCTAATTTTTTAAATACTATTTCAAAGCTAAAATGCAAAAGGGGACTCTCTATGTATCAACTCGAAGTGGAGTTGAATTCATAGGGAATCTTGCCAGCAATGTTCCTTGTTGGAAAACCTGATTTTTTTATGTTCGACCTTTGACCCCTTTTTTGTTCCAATCAGAGTGGATAACCCGTAAACCTCCTCACATACCTCGCCCCAAACGCAACCACGCTTTCGACCTCTTGATTGAAAGTTGAAACGAGTTCACAATCAACTCTTCCCTGATGGTCGACAGCGAAAAGATCATTTTTCATTGTGGCCTCACCAAGGGGCCTCACCTTTGTTTTTCTAATCTGAGCTTGGTAGGTTACTTTCCTCGCATTTGATCATTTATGTCTTTCTACCCTTTACCTCATACATTGTGTTGTTATTTTTTATTTACAGTGTTTTTTAGAGGAACTTCTAAAGTCGATGAAGTCGATCTCCTCAGGAAATAAGGGGAAAGGCCCCTCTTTTTTTTCTAGCAAGGGGAAAGGTCCTCAAACGTCCTCCAAGGGTCGACCTCAAAGGATTCTCGACGAGCTTGGGACTCTCAAGCCCACTCCGAAGCCCACAACTCCTCCTCCTCCCTCAAAGTAGACCCACCAAAAAAAATCGAGCTCTAGTGCTCCTTTTGGACGGGAAGATCGAAAAAATAGTGCGTCGAGGAAATCGACGTTGACGTGCCCGAAAAGCTCATCGGCAACCTGGATGGGGTCGTAATCTTGACCTACCTCATGCAGGTTCTCCCTGCCAGGGAGACGCGACAATGGGGTAAACTGTCAAAGTCGGTCGGCCTATGCGACCAAGGTCCTCTCCCACGTATATACTTTATTTCTTGTAACCATACCTTAATGATGTCAATACTTCAACTTCGCGGTCTAACCTTCATGTATCTTTTGCAGCTACTCGTCTCTTTGGTCCCAATGCTTGACAAGGATAACCGTTCGACCTCACCGTCCTATGAGGATCTTTATGAAGACCTCAAGGATATGAAGAAGGAGAATGGCAAACTCACTGCCAGTAACCACAAACTCAAGAGGGAGGTCGACGACTTCAATTGCCATATCGCGACCCTCCAGAAATAGATAGAGGTGCTTAAGATGAAGAGGGACACCAACATGGAGGCTTCCAGTCTCATGGGTTGAGCATTTGGCCGCCAGAATTTCCGACTTATGGAATATGTCGAGGTCGCCCTCGACCAAGCTGAGCAACAAATTTAGGCACCTGATTTTTCAGGGACCCTCAACTGTGTCAGCATCCTCGAGGAGCTTTCCGCGGTGTACACTGGCGAGCCCAACCTTAAAGACCATTGTTGGTGGGCCAAGAGTTTGGAGAAATGACTCCCCAAGCATGACCTCACCAAAGGTTTGCCCCTACCTCTGGCGCCCATAAGGATCGGGCCCATCTCCCAAGCTAGCTCCCCCCGCTGAAGAGCCTGTTGGTGCTTCGGTGGTCGAGGGTGCTGATGCGGCCGTGGTGACCTCC